TCACCTGTTCTAAATAATAAGGTAAGCCTAAGTGTGTTAATTGCAAAATGTGCTGATCACTACTCAAGGATTATTGAATTTGTTACTTTTTTCATAAGGAGTTTCATTCATCATCATTAATCTGTTTTAATGTTCATATCAGATCTAATAATAATTCATTAGATCAATGGAAATTATCATTTATATACTTTTCATTGTTGATACCATTTTGTTATTTAAGCTCCTGCTTTACTTTTTATAAAATGTATTGTTTATTGATAAGTTCAAGAAAAACTGTTTCAAGTTCAAATAGAAGTTCCTTGGCTCAGTTTGTTAAAAATGCTTTTGCTGAAATGGGAACAAAAGCTATATTATCATTATTATATTTATTTCTTGGTAAATGATACTGGAACTATTGACTTTGAGAAATATTTTTAAAATTCAAATTGTACTTTTTCACACAGGATTCTATTCTATATTTTTTCAATTATATATTCAAAATTCTATATATAATAAAATAATTTTATGTAGTTTACCTTTAATTTCCCTTCACAACTCTATAGTATTCTTACTGAAAGGGTATATCAAGTTTAAGTCTAGTTTACATATTAAAAAAACAATTCAAAGGTAAATTTCTATCTTTTTATATATTGACCTAAATTTTATTGACAAGTAGAATTACCCTAATTGAAAAAATTCAATACGAAGCTTCTTTGAAATGTTTGTAAATTTTTTTTTTTTAAAAAAACAATACCCACAAAAAACATAATTGATTTCCACTTCACTTTAGTTGATTCATTTTTTTCAAATATGAATAAAAATTATTTAATACAAAATTGTTGTGAATGCACTAAAAAATTCCAAATTGATAAAGAATTTGCTGAATCTATACAATATTATAAATTTTCAATACAAATCATTAAAGCCATTATATTTGTACACCAAAAACAATTTTCATTTAATGGAAATATTTCATTAGAATTAATATTTTGCAAGGTAAGCAAAAAAAATTTTTCTATTTAATTTCATTAATAATTCATTCATTAAACAAATAATTCTTGTTTCTAAATTTTAGAAAGCTGACTATGATAGTAATACATTTAACATTTTATTGAAACATCCAATTTATAAAACAAAGGATAATGAAATTAAAGATATATATTCATTTGGTTTACTTTTAAGAAAAGTTATACAAAAAATTATAACAGTTATAAAAGATAACAAAATACATTAATCATAATTGTAATTGTAGGAATTTTTCTGATTCTTTAGAACAGTATTTAGGGTTTGCAAAGGGTTTTTTTTTTGATTAAATCAAAAAAGAGAAACAGGATTCTCACATTTCAAGAGTCCCAGTTGATTTTGGGAAGCAGTCAAAGAAAAAATACACCAAAATCGACGTTTAAAACAATTTCCAACAGAAAAAATTTTTCAAAAAATTTTCAAAAATTTTTTTCTTAATTCCTACCTACTCGACGTACCATATATTTATATATATAATGAAAATTGATAGAATAATCGAAATATAGATAATGTTTTTGTTCATTTTATTTAAAATGGTCAATGAATAGTGCTGGTATGTTTCTCTGTTTTTCCAATATATTCATGCTTTCTTAGTATTTGTATTGATAATATTGAAAATATTTTGGATTAAATGTAGCATTTATCATCAAATAATCATGTCTCATTTTTTCAAGTATTTAATTTGCGTGAAATATTGATGACAATTGTAATATTTGGTTCTATGAGAGATTAGACATTTCAAAAGTTGGAAAAATGTCTTTAGTAATTATTATTCATTGTTTTTGTGAAATTTTTTTTCCAATAGTGTTTCTCATGAAACGAAAAGGTTTTGCATTGACAAAATGATTATTTGTATCAATAAGTAAGACATTAAGAATATCGTATTTAATTAAACTGTTAGACGATTATTCTATGAAAAAAAGTCATATGTTTCAGTTGAACAAGGAATGCTCCTCTAAGTCTTTTTCTTATGATACTTAGTACCTTTTGGCGAAAGCAGGTTTGTTTATGTACAAATTTTTCATTTATCTTTCAATTCTTTGACCAATATTCAAAATAATAGAAAAAAGACCAATCAACATTGTCGATAAATCAACGAATTCTCAATGCAGTAGAGGGTTTGAACTGAGCAATAAATTAATGGAATGGATTTTAAATGCGAATATCTTCTCTCTCCACATTGAATTAGTATGCGTTCGTGGCTGACATTTTGTACATCTAATTGCCAAAAGAACAAAAGTTACAATGGCATTTGAGAAGCTGTATAACATTACAGAAATTTTTCTTATCTCAAACATTTTTATCAGTTGAAGATAAGACAAACTCCGTTGAGAATACATTTGATGAATTGTCTGTATTGAAAAATTGACTGAGGAAGCAGTTCCTAACTCTAATTGTACTTTGTTGTATTGTGTTTGCGTTTACAATGGAATTCAGCTGTATAGAGAGCCATCTAGTGTTTAAAAATTCCCTCAAAAATATGTATAATTTATTAAAATATATCTATATTCTTTATTTTATTATTTATTAAAATTAAAAGAAAAGAAATAGTTTTTTGAATGAAAATTGTAGGAAATGTTTGTTATTATCATTTATCATAATAATTAAGATACTTTCGAATGAATTTTCCATACTTCAGTATATCTTCATGATTTTTGGCATTATCTCTTCTTATTTCAAACTCGCTTAGAGGTATAACAAATACTGAATTTTTCCAATTACATTTCACTTTAAAGTGCAAAACAACCAAATTTTTTGAATCTTTTAATCCAAGTGATAATAGATGAGCAGAGTTTAGACCGTTGGATATGTTAATTGCCAAATTCAAAAAGCTTTTTAGATCTATATCATCATTGTCATAACTCTCAAATCTACTATTTTTATATTGAGCATCAAATAATATGCCGTTTTCATATAAGACAGTAAATAATGCTTGAACTTTAAATATATCAAATTTGTATTACATGAAAGAGAAAGTATTGAAAATAGAACTCACATTTTCTTTTTGCTTCATATTCTGCATTAGTGAGACATTTTTGTCTGTAAAATAAAATAATAAAAATTGGCAGGAAATTCAATTTAAATCATTTAAATATATAATTTTTTTCTCATATGTTTTACATGTAATTAATCGTCTGCAATCTAGCTTTGACTTTATTTTTCAAGTACTCTATTAGCACTGTCGCGCAATAGATGTAGGGATTAAACATTGAATTTAATGGAATAAGTAGTATTATAATCCAAGGATAGACTCGTTCATCTATTGAATGATTTTTATTCAGTGCCATAAATCCTACAAAAAGAGATTATCTCTATGTTAATTTATTAAATTTGTCTATTATCTTTATACCTAAAATTGCAACTGGAAAAAAGCACACAGTATTTGTTATAACTATTATTAGACTGCTTTTTATTATATTTAAAATTCTCTTTTTAAATTGTTTCTTATTAATTTTTTTTGACTTCCATATTTCTCTTATTATTTGAAAATAGAAAAAGGTTAGAATGATTATTTGAAAAATGATAAAAAGATTGAATGTTATAAATGAATATTGCCATCCTTCCACCCTTTCCGATGTAATGTGTAGAGAGAAACAGACAACTGATCTTGAGAAATAGTCCTACAAAGGTTCGTTATAGGAAAATTAAAACAAAAGGCGTGCCATCCCCCTTCCCTCCTACATCCCGCCCATTCTTAATATTCTATGTCTAACCTCAAAGAGAAAATACGGTGTTATTGTTGTAATTATTCCAAAGAGTAGAGGAATTGAAGCAATATAAACATAATTAATTGTTTGATAAAAGTATTTCTTATGAATTAACGGTTTGCATATTACGCAATATCTTTCAAATGTTATTAAAAGTAATGAGAAATTTGATAAAATAATTGATAAATTAACTATAAAACCACATAGTGTACAGATAGGACCAAATCTCCATTGTGAGTCATACTCAATGTAAACACCTTTATAATATATATCAGCTATGGCAATTATTGTTAGATAGATACTTAATAATAGATCAAAACTATGAAGTACTAGAAAAAAGACAGAAGATGATTTAAATGATTTTATCTGAGTATAAATTGCCAATAGATTTCCAGTTGTTCCCATAAATACAATAATCCAGATTGCAATTCTAAGCGATTGTGAACCAATTAAATCAGCACAAATTTTTATAACTGATTCATCTGGCAGACATTTTTCAACATTTAACTTAAACTTTTTAGTCATACAACATAAAAGAAAACTTTCAGAATATAATCTTTTTAACGATTTTAAATTACGTATTAAATTTAAATTTAAGAATTTTGGTAATTTTGTATTCATCATGAATAAATATTCCAATTTTTCCAATTTACCAAATGGATCATCACTAAATTGTTGAAATTTACAATTTATCATTTCTAATGTAATTAAATTTGTTAAATTACTAAAAAGATTATTATTAATACTATTTAATTTGGTTTCAGTTAAATTCAAAAATAATAATCTTCTTGCGTCATTCAGAAAAGATGAAGGAATGTTTGTAAAAGGATTTTCACTTAGATGTAAGTGTTGAAGAATATTTAAACTGGAAATATCTGTGCCATTAATCCTTTTTATACTATTATTTCTTAAACTTAAAATGATAAGATTTGGTGTGAACAATTTTGGAATTTCTAATAGATTACTACTTTCATATTGTAAATTTGTTAATGTTAAACTCTTTTTAAGATCTATAATTATATTTTGTGATATACTCATTAAAATCATTGTTTTTATACCATGACTAAATGACAGTTTATCAATTTCATTATTTTCTTCATTTGAGCATTTAATAATTGCTAAATTATTACAATTACAGAATTTTGGGCAAATGAATGTATGGAAATCATAACAGAATATTTCATCTTCTCCTCTTTGACAATCAATAATTCCATCACAGAGTTTCGAGATGTTTAAAAACACATGGTCAAATGTACACAAGAATGTTGAATGTGGATGAAAATTGTCTATTTATAAAAGTATAATGATTGATAGAAAGAAAGAAGGAAAGAAAGAAATACTGCAATCTGCTTCATCATCTCCCAGAAAACAGTGAAATATATTATCACATAGTTTATTCAATGGAATACAATAATTCTTTTCGGCGCATTGATATTCGCCAGCCATACATGTGAAATTCTTGCAATCTCTCAAATCGTATTTTGGAAAATTAGGTCTCGTTTGTATTTTGCCTAAAGAATTATACACTACTCGGCAAAAGTAAGTTCTATTTTTGTTTTGATGTTGTCCCAATTCATATTTAAAGCTTAAATTCTCAGCTGGATTTTCACACATGGATTTACCCTCATCCTCATAATTTTTACAATCAATTTCCATGTCGCAAATAAACTCTTTTGGCATACAAAAATTATCGCAAAATATCAAAGTTTTACATCTTTCTATTAAAAAAGATATATATCATTTAGTTGATTTTGTGAGACTAGTTCACCTCGACATTGGCTATCTTCATCACTACTGTCAAAACAATTCAAAACGTTATTACATCTCTGCTCTTGTGTAATTATTTGTCCATTTTTGCATTGAAATCTGTTAATCAACAAACAAAATGATAATAGTGTTGAAAATAAATTTTAATCTACACAATTTCAACACCTTTCAGCATTCGTTGAGTTCTTTGATTCAGTTATTAATTCAAATGAGCAGTCTGATTCATCTGAACTATCTTTGCAATTATTTAAAAAATCACAAACAAATTGGGTAGGTATATGTTGTCCATTTTTGCATTGAAATTCATTTTTATCAGGACAATCTCTTTCGTCACTTCCGTCAAAACAATTGTTCTTACCATCACATAAATATATCATTGCAAGACAAAACTTATATGTCTGACAAGTGAAAAAGCCTAATGGACATTCAACTATTGTTGGTATTAGTAGTCTATCAGCACTAAATAAACTTTTTCTAGCCAGTTCGTCTAACACAGGATTGTTAATGAGAAAATTGACAACAAAATAGCAAAAGAAGCTACAAAATATTCCCCAAACATATTTTAAATTCTTAATCTAATCTTCATATTTGATCTTGACCTAATTGAAAAGGTTTTTTCTAACTCACAACTTTTATACACTCTGAGGGGAAATTTTGTTCTTCAACTAATTGTGTTAATTATTACCAAATGACTCTTCACACATAAAAACTTTGACTTGTTCATCTTCGCATTTTCTATTCAAAATTATATAATTGTAAAGATATAGACATGAACCTTTGTCATGATATATATATAGATTGTCATAATGTGTAGTAATCTGGTCCCTTCCATTCAGACTATAGAAGGAGTGTAGGAGAAGAAGAAGAAGAATGGCACTAAATATTATGAAAAATGATGATAAATCTAACTAACTTTGGCTTAAGATATCCAGACATTCCAGTTACTTCCTTTGGTGTATTATATTCTAAATGAATCAGAAAACGGAATCAAATATTCAGATTGCAAAAAAAGACAACACCATCTAACCAAAAGGTAGTTTAAGAATTGGTCCAAAACTTGCTATTGTAAGAATTACTTTTTTAATATAGTCAAAAAAAGCAATTTCTTCCAAATAATCAGGGCTAAACATAATTTTTCCCTCTGACTTGCAAATATCATTCATTTCTTGCCTTGTTGGAAAATTGTCAAACATTTTAAATTTTGCTCCTCTCTCAAATAAATACGATTCATTTTTCAGGTGATGGATAGAGTAACATTTATCATTAAATCTAAAATCATTTTCTTTTGAGCAAGCTATGGAACAAAACATATTTATCACGTGACTAATATGGAGAATAAGGCTACAAACTCTTCGGATATACTGAATCTTTCCTACAATTAATTTCCAATTGTCCAAGTGTTTTCCAAGATAAAGATTTTCTTGTATTTATTTCAATAGAACAACATTCCAAATCAGTACAATTATCGCATTGAACAAAAAATGGCATAGCTCTGACAAATGGATACTTGAAAACATTGACAAATGATGAATAAGTAAAATTAAAGTAATTACAAATCAACTGTAAAAGATACTTTTAGAAGAAAGAAAGAAGAGAAGAAAATAGAAGACAAGTACCTCCAATGCTTTATATGAGAGTGGATTAACATTAACATTAGACCATACATTGTAGAAATTCATTTCTAAACGCCCAGTAATACTTGAATATTGTTTCATCGACTGTTGGTAGCCATTTTTGTATATTATTGCAAAATTATCCAAAACAAATCGAAATTTTTCATTTATTATTCTTTCTTGGCAATTTATTATACAAAAATGTCTATCACTAAATTTGGTCCATCTCATAAAATGACAATCAAGTATCGATTTAATCTCATCAGGACAAACTAAAGAAGCAATTTGCGAAGAACTTATAACTGCCATCCCTTTAGGACACCTTAAAATCTTTCTATGGTTTGTTGATGTAAAATTTAAATGTTTGCAGAGTAGAATGAGAATCATTCTATTGTAACTGGAACTTTTAGTGTAAATTTTAAATGCGCCATATTTCTTTGAAATAATTAAAGGTATAAATGAACTATTCTCTTTTGGATATGGTATAAATCTATATTTATATTCTGATATGTCTTTTAGAATCAAATTTAAAGATATTTTTCCATTATAAAACAGTTAACAATACTACTGACCTTCTTTGCCAGAATTACACTTTTTATAGGTTTTACATTGCTTAATTCTCGAATATGTATACAGTTGATAATGTGTTTCATTACCATAGAAACAATTTGTTCTTGGATTTCCAGACGCATAAACTGTTGAATCCAAGATGTACCTTTTCTCACATAAATTTTTTATAGTCATATTTTCACTTGAAATCAAATAACTTTTTTTATTGATTCTTGCAAATATTATCCTATTGTCAACATATTTGAATTTTCTTCTCCAACTGTAAAAATCTAGAATTATAGCAAAAATTTTCATATTTAATTACAAAAAGTAGGAAATTCGTAAAATTCTATTTTTTTACATATTATATTAGTTTTCCAGCAAGTAATTAGTAAAACATGTTTAAAAGGACCATTAGGAGAACATTTTCTTGATTTTTGGAACACTACACGATATTTTCTCTGCATACCAAAGAAAATTATCAATTAATTTATTATTCATATCATCATTTTGGAAAATTTAATGCCAACTTTTCTATTTTTAAGTAGTGCAATGTTTTCACCTGGTTTTTATTTAATAAGAAAAATTTATCAGACACAAAAATAGGTTAAAAATAAAAGGTGTGTTTTTTATCTTATACTGGATGTTTCAAAATCCTTCTCTATAATATTATACAAAGGATCGTAGCCATTTTGTTTACAAATATCATTTCCCAATGAAAAATATGTGTCTTTATTTTTAAAATATGAAGATATAAATGCCAATTTATATGTAATGTTCCATTTATGATTTCTTATTACAATAAAAGCCGTTATTTGATGAGTAGTATTCCTAATTATCTCACCCATTTTAAATTCCTTATTTCTATAACCTCTGGAATATACAACATGTTGGCAAGGTGTAAATTCTAAAATTCTACAATCAACTTGATAAAATACTATAAAAGAATTGAAGATAAAAGAAACTGTATATTTCAAAATCATTTTTAAAAGTTGAAAAGAGAAGGAGTGAGAGAGAGAGAGAGAGAGAGAGATCATATCAAATTGTAATTCTAACAGAAAAGGAAATTTGAAAGAAAGTACAATTTAAATGATATAAAATAACAAAAACTTAATATAATCATGTGTTTTTTGAATTGTTTTATTCAATTTTTTCAAGAGCGGAATGCTTCACTTTTTAAAATTATTTTCAATTTTTACATTATCAATTAATGACGTTTTATCAAATGAGAAAGAGTTTACATTCTGCAATTCACATTTTGTCAAAAAATTTGATAGAAATTATTCAAGATTATCTCTTAGTGATCCTGTTGACGAAAATGAAAATTCTGCTACATACAATGTTCTTTTTTCTGATGAAAGAATTTTAACAGTTATACCATATACTATTTCTAATAAGGAAGCTCATGAATATTATTTTAATATTGGAGCAATGCTATGTTCAAGGAATTCAATTTTTGATGAACATTTGAGTATCCCATTTCTATTTACAACATATAAAAGTAAAAATGAAGAAAAAACAAAGAAATTTTCCTATTTTCTATAAATTCTCTTCTATTATATATTTTAGAGTCATTAATGGCACATCTCTATTATAAACATACAAGTGAAACAGTAGTGATGTATACATTATTTTAAAATATAAGCAAAAATGATATATTTCTTTAACAAGAATATTTTTCTTTTGTTTTTCTAAAGTTGTCTTTGCCTATGCAATAAAACTTGGGAAAAATTCAACATATTTAGAGTTGTCTGTTTTAAGAGAAATATTCCATGTATAAACTGCTTTTTTTTGTTTTTCTTTTAAAAAAAAGATAATTTTCTTTCTTTTTGATAAAGTTCTTATTCAATTTACAAAATATGAACAAAATTTGCAAACAAAAGTTAGATATAAAGATAAAAGCTACATTTATATTCCATCTGATTTAGAATAATTCAAATATGAAACTTGTAATAAAGTATATCATTTAAACATACCATATCATAAGAAAAAGATAGAAAGAGAAATATTCTATGGAGATTTAACTCAATTTAAAATATTCAATTCAACTGATTATAAATTCAAAAACTTTTATTGTTTTGGTAAAATTTTAATATTCATCACTAAGAGAGAGTGAGAGAGATTTTGAATTTTTTTTGAAATAGACAAACAATTTGAATTTGAAATTTCTGGAATAAGAAATCCAATGGGAAAAAATGCTAGTACCATTTTCCCCAGGTTAACATCTGTACACATACATTCGTCAGCTATATTCTACAATAGAGAAGTAGTATTGAACCAGTATTGTACTATGCAGATAGCACTGATAAAGATAAGCAGTAGTGACCTAGTTTCGCATAGGGCAGTGCATACACATTATGCAGTAATAAAACCTATTGAATTATATAAAGAATATTTGCTATTTGCAACCTAGCATTAATATTACAATTTATTAATCCATAAATTTATGATTTCGAACTAAAACTAGTTCAATTAATTATCAATTATGCTTAAATTCTAAGGTTAGATTATATTCACTATTCAACAGTATTGTATACACAATACTGTTCTTTTTAACATGCATTAATCAGATATACTTCCTCCTTATATGCTGATGCTAAATTTACTAACTCAATCAATTGAATATCATTATTAAGGTAGAATATAAAAACGGTCAAATATACAATCTACATGTTTTCTTGATTGTTGGACTTGTCCTACTAAAATTGTTACATCTTATGCAACTCTCCAACCTTCGAAATTCAACTATTATTTAGAAGAGGAAAACAATAAAAACATGACCATATTTAGAACTTTTCTTTGTCTTCAAATGTTACTTTTGTTTTTGTGAACATTGAAATTTGTGAACTATCAACCCTTAAAAGAGTATATAAACCCTACGAAATTAACAGTTGATAGTTCAGTTTTCTAACCGTCAGCTAGTTGTTTAAACTAGCTTGTTTAGAACTAGAAGCTCATTTTACTCAATACATATTCTTTGGACGAAATACTGGTGTTTTGTTAATCAATTTCTACCGAAATTGCCTTTGTTAGACTATTTGTGGACGAACTTTAAAGGTTCTATTTGGACCAGTACTTTGGCAAGTTGGTAAATGATTGGAAAGGACGATTACAGTTGTGACGAACCAGAAATTCCTACAATTACAATACAACAAAGTACAAATATGGCGCAGTCGACAGCCCACAATGCTACTTCAATGAATGTTATTTTGGTTTATGAGAATGACAAAGCCAGAGCCAAGGAAGTAGATGAGTATCTTTCAAAAATTAATGAATTAATGTTGAGAATTAAAAGTAGTGGAGCCAAAGTTGATGGTAATAGCTTTTTAAAGTACCATTTGATGACTGGGGCAGCTACAATTCCTGAAGGTATGGTTAATCCTGATCCTACTCAACCAAAATTCAGTTATGATGGCATTCAAGATAATGCTTTGGAAAAGACAATTGCAAGTCTTCTAATTGATGCTAATGAGAAACCTAATACTACTTTGCTGAGACCCTATTCTGGTAGCAAAGATACTTGGGCCTTTAAGAGGAACTTTCAAACAGCTTGTGAATTAAACCTTTGGGATACAGAAGAGAAAAGAGTTCGAATGCTGAGAAAATACACTACTGGAAGAGCCAGAGATGTTATTGAAAGTTTACCCTCCATGGCAAATGAAAATGAAATTTGGGATGCATTGGATGAAGAATTTAATCCAGATCCTATGGCTTACAAAAAAGAAATTGATAGATTGAGACAGTTCAATGATGAAACTGTCCAAAGTTTTGTTAGAAGAAGTAAAGAACTTGTGGAAAAATTCCTACCATTCAATACTACTGAAATGGCTTGTGTTACTGAAAGAGTTAGAGAACTTCAACTGTTAACTGTATTCAGGAATGGTCTTAAAGGAAAAATTGTTAATCATGTGGAAAAAGATGGAAAGATTAACTCAGTTAATCAGTATATTAAATTGGCAAAAAGAGCAGAAATATTTTTTGATAATGCAAGAAAAGAAAGCGAAAATGAATTCAAACAGTACAAAAGGAGAT